GTTCTGGCCTCCCCCCTTCCATTCCTGACCATCTTCTTTTCCCAGCAGGGATAATTGACCTGTCTCAAGTACCACACCTCCCTGTGCTCGTGCCTCCCACTCCAGGCACCTCTGCAGCCTCCATGGACCGCATCACTTACATGCACGGCACCGCCCAGCCTTTCAGCAGTCGACACAGTAGCTCGCCGCTCTCACCAGGTGAGTCAGGAGGGAACCAAGGACCCAACGTAGGTGAGGTGCTTCCAAGTGTCCTTCTTGGGTAACCACTTGGGAAGGAGAGCCACCTTGTGCACAGGTGAAACAGGGAGAGAGAGAGAGAGAGAGAGAGAGAGAGAGAGAGAGAGAGAGAGGAGGTAAATGAGAACAAAAGAATACAAGCTGGAGAAAAGGAAGATGTGTTCTAGATCGGCTGATGGAAATAAGTGGAGCTCCAGAAGGAAAGTGTCAACTCATAAAAACATTCCTATGCCTGTTTTAGTAGTTTCCATAAAAGAAAAAAAGGGGGGGAGGGAAGAAAGGAAATCTGGAAGAGCAAATGCAGCGGTTTGAAAGCAAAAGTACATTCCAACTCTTCTCTTTAAAAGACTGTAACTAAACTACCAGAGTTATTGCTCTCCGATATATTTCATTGGAGAACGTGAATGATGACGCCCAGCCCATGAACGTGCTCAATTGGAGAATCTGGTTTGTGAGATACCCAGCGGGGAGAGGGGGAAACAGGGTCACGGGGGACTATAAATGACGTATGGCAGGAGTTGGCTTCATCCAGGCCAGTGCCAGTATGTCACCTCTAATAAATCCGTTGAAGTTTTTTGAAGATTGGTTCGAGGATCATGATTTAATTAGAGTGATTCCTGGAATCCTGACAGAAAGTAGAAGGACCAGTGAGGCCCGCCTCAAGTGAGCAGTGTGGATGTATAGGTGGCTTACGCAGGTTTGTGATCCGGGAGGTGTAGAATTAAGTGAACATTAGTGCAAACGTCGGAGGTGTAAAGAAGAATGAGGCAATGCAAGCTAGAGGGAAGGAAGCTGTTCTAGATCGGGCAAAGGAAGTAGCTGGAGTTTTCTTGCAGAAGAAAAGCAGAAGAGATGCAACCCAGCTGAGAAGTGTAGATTTTGTGGGCTGCTTGACCCAGTCCTTATCCTCCTGGGAGTTTCAGAACCACCTCCTGGCTTCTTGATAGCACCCAAATGAAGGAAACCACAAGCCAGAAGCTTTAGTTCATCCCAAAGTTAAGGATGATGGAGCCTGATTGCCCTCCACGTGTTCCAAGAACCCCGTCATCCTGGATGACAGTGTTAGGAACGTGCGTGTTGCAACGCTTTGAAAACAAAATTTAGGGAAGGGAAGGAAAGAAAGGAGAACGCAAAGAAGAAACAGGTTACTAAAAAAAAAACAAGGTAAAGCAGAATGACGGATGATGAGTAAGCTCCATTTCATGCCGAATAAGCTAAGCTATGAAAGTATCACAAACAGAAAGCTATCTTTAGATAGATTTTTACTCCAAAAATAAAAATAAAAAAATCCGATTTAAATTTTTTAAAAAATCTGATTTTTATCCACCCTGCTCTCTGAGCTTGGTGGGTTACATTTACAGACATTTCATGACCTTACTAGGGAACATCATCAGTGCTTGAAGGGAGTGAGGTTTGTGAAGGAGGAGGATAAGGAAAAAGTACTGTAGGGTCCTTAGCGCTCTCTGAGTTTGGAGGGGCGCCAAGGACCCTACAATTCTGAGCTTTTGATCAAAAAATTTTTCAAGTCGAATGCTGTTTTTTTTTTGCTGGAGTTTGATGGTGGATGAAATAGCAAAGCAGCCCTAGAGCGCTTTTTCCACAGTGGGAAACAAACAACAGCCTGTGCTTCACAGGGACCCCTGCGCATTTAGCCAAGGCGGGACCTCCGGTTTCCGAACGGGAGCAAGAACGGGACCGTGAAAAGGAACGCAAAAAATCGGTGGTGACCAGCACAGCCACGGTGGAACACGCACCCATCTGGAGACCGGGTGAGTTGAGGTTCGCCCCCTTGGAAGGTGCTCGCACCTGGGCTTCCCAAAATCATGAAGCCAACTCCTCGTCCCGATAAAACCCCTTTTATTTAGGCTGAAGTGAATGTCCTCTCCAGCAAAATCATAGCAAATAGTCTTTCAAGAGATTTCACAACTACAGGCCTTCTTCTGGCAGCTCTGTGCATGCGCACATTGGGAACAGGCTCCAGCTGTTCTTCTTCCCCACTGATCTCCAATTCCGAAGGCAGCTGATAACTGTTCAGACAGCCCTGGCCCCATCTCTGCCTCAGATGCAGAGCACTTGTGAGATCCTTCCCCAACCTCCAGGACTAGCCCATGTTTGTCCCCAACCTCCTCACTGTCTGAGGCTGCCGCCAGTTCCGCTGGCCGAAGGGAACGGAAGGGAAGGAGAGGGGGCTCGGCATTGTCTCATTTTGCCTCCGTTCTGTCTTTTGACCGCAGGCACCGAGCACAGCAGTGGCCGTATCTCTGCACACTCTCACAAGCACTCCCCGGTTTCCCCACGTGCCCAGGAGAACATCCAACAGCGTCCCAGCGTGCTGCATAACACCAACATGAAGATCGTCTCTCCGGAAGGTCTCGCTCCCTCCGTTTTACGGTAGGTCACGTTCCGGAAAGGTGGAAGCGAGTTATTCTCCATATAACATTCAGGGCACAAAATCTTATATGCCAATTCTGGATTTTAATCCAGATTCTGTCGGAAATGAAGCCCCTTTTCGCTCATTCTCACTGAGATGTTTTTTTTTTACAGTCACAGACCCCAAATTATAATCCAGCCAAAAAAAACCCGCCTGGCCTTAGATTCCCCATTTCTGCAAATGTTGAAAATGTAGCCTATCTGTATCGTTTAGTTTACATCTTGCACTTGGAAGTTCAGAAATAACGGAGTTGTGGGGGACTTGGAAGGTTTTCTAGTCCAGCCCGCTGCTTAAGCAGGAAACATCGCTAAATGTCTTTGAAGACATTTCGCTTCTCATCCAAGAAGCTTCTTCCGCTCTGACAGGATGGTGGGGCATGGAAGGATTCATACTCCTTGCAGAAAAGCTGGTCATTTGCATCCTTTGAGAGGGTCGTTGAGGCCACTTGGAGGTTTATCTGTGTCCTCAGGGATACCTGAGTAGTGCAAATGGTTCCTGTGGTCTGCAATTTTTTCCTCTGGAAATCCATTCCTACTCCCACACGATTCAAGGGCTGTTCATCCCCAATTGTATAGCTAAAAGTCTGTATAGATTTTCCATCATCCAAGTCATGGTTGTCCCAAAGGTGTTTTTTTTTCAGGAGGCCACTGGACTTTCTTTGTTTTTTTCTTTTGAAGATGTTTCGCTTCTCATCCAAGAAGCTTCTTCAGCTCTCACAGGATAATGGGGAATGGAAGGATTTATACTCCTTGCAGACAGCCGATCATTTGCATGGATTTAGTACAGTGCTGTGAGCCATGTGCAGATCTATACATTGGGGAAACCAAACAACCACTACATAAACGCATGGCCCAACAAACCCATCTGGACTAGATTCAGCAGACCATCGGCATTTAAAAGACAAAGGCCGCTCTTTTGAAGACAGCAAAGTCAGTATTTTGGACAGAGAGGACCGCTGGTGTGAAAGAGGGGTCAAAGACGCCATTTACGTCAAAATTGAACAGCTCTTTCTCAACAGAAGGGGAGGGATGCGACACCATCTATGTCCAGTCTACAACACAGTCCTTTAAGCATTTCCAAGGCTCCACACCCATTTGTACTACTCTGGTGACCTTAAAGACACAGATAAACCTCCGAGTGGCCTCAACGACCCTCTCAAAGGATGCAAATGACCAATTGTCTGCAAGCAGTATAAATCTTTCCATTCCCCACTATCCAGTCAGAGCTGAAGAAGCTCCTTGGATGAGAAGCGAAAGACAAAGTCCACCTGCCTCTTGAAAAAGCACCTTTGGGAAATTCTACACCATTCCAGACCAACGGATGTCCAATCTCTACTTAAAAACTTCCAGTGTTCACAACTTCTGGATTTCTTCTACGTGAGCCCTTGCAGAAATCCAGGATTTGAATAACCCCATAACTACCCTCGACACCCCTTGCAAAAGATGTGGGTATTTCCTTCTCCCCTTGGAGATCTCTGAATGTGGTTTTCTCCTTTGCAGATCCTCTTCTTCCTCCTCCTCTTCCTCTTCATCCATCGCCACCACGTCCCCAGCCTGCTCCTCCGGCTTCTGTCCGGCATCGGCGTTGCGCAGCTCCATGAGTGGCGCGGACAACTATGCCTCGGTGATGGAGTCAGCTCATGTGCAGAAGGAGGTCTCCTCCTCCTCCAGGACCCAGGACCTCAAAAGCGAACGGTCTCAGCCTGAGATCAACCACCTGTTCCCCTCAAAGTTGTCTGTGGGGCCAAGCCTAGAACAGACCCCTTCGCCCGTAAAAGCTACGGAGTCCAAGACTTTGTCCTCTTCTGGGCCGGGGGCGAGCCACCCGTTTAGCAGAGGACAGGGGAAAATCCAGCCTTCGCATCACAGCCCCCTAGACTCATCACTGCACGCCGTTTCGGCCCCCGAGCAGCCGAGTAGAGAAAAGAGTAAACCCTTTTCAGTGCAGGAACAGGAGCTGCGAGTACTGGGTAAGACTACCATGACAGCGGCCAACTTCATTGATGTCATTATCACGCGCCAAATTTCTTGCAATAAGGGGATGCCCGAAAGAAGTACATTAAATAACAGCACCAATGGCGATGGTAAGACATGGGAGGGGGAATCGGGGGCGGCTCTCCGCGTCGGGGGGGCCCTTCCAACCCGCACCTGGAGACGTTACCAAAGATCCTTCCCTTTCCGCAGTCATTTATTTCTTTTTTTTTTTCCTTTTCTTTTTAAAGCGTTTTAATTTTCACATTTGTGGTGAAGGCCCCTTTTCTGTTTTCAGCCTTGTCTGCCTAAAAGCCCCCGTTTTGCTCCCCCCCCCCCCTGTTCTCGCTTCTTCTTTTTCTGCCCCCCCCCCCCATTTTTCAGCCTATTTCCCCTACCCCTCCCCTCCCCCGGTTCCTCCGCGTTTGGTTTCTTCCTGGAGCATGTTGTTGCGTGCGGCAGGGCAGGCTAGACTTGGAAATGGGGAGGGGGTCCTGTCACAAAGGTACGAGGGCAGTGGTGGGATTCAAATCGTTTTAACAACCGGTTCTCTCTGCCCTCATGATTTCTTCTAACAACCAGTTTGCCAAACTGTTCAGAAAGTTAACGACTGGTTCTCCCAAAGTGGTGCGAGCCGGCTGAATCCCACCACTGGACGAGGGTCTTAAGCCAGGGCTGTCAAGTTCCCGGCCCACAGGCCAGATGCGTCACGTGCCAGCCACACCTGATTTAGCGAAGGGGAACAAAGTCCCGATATGCCACGTGACACCGCCGTGACGCCGTGAGTTTGACACCCCAGGTCTAAACATTGAGAGGATGTCATAGATTCACCCTCAAAGCCTTCCCCCGCCCCCAAACTTGGCCAGGCCTGTCCAAAAGAGTGAGGGCTTGTGTTGTGCGGTTGTGACGTGTCATTTTAGCTGTTTGGACACCTGTCCACCTGCCTCCATGGAACTCTGCAAAACGTATGAAACACAGGAGTGATGGAGGCCACGAATTTCAGCCCTGGGCTTGCTTCCCGAACTATTTCATGTTCTGATTTGTCTATCAATTGTTATCAGCTTGCTAAAGTCGGCCGAGATACAGGTGGTCCTCGACTTATGACCACATCAGAATTTCCACTGCTTAAGCAAGGGAATTGTTAGCTGAGTAGTGGTCTCAGCTGGCTGGGAAGGTCACAAATGGTGATTGTTTGACTCCAGGACAATGCAACCATCATAAATACATAACCAGATGCCAAACATTTGACCTCTTGACCATGGGGATGCTGCAGTGGTCGTAAGTGTGAAAAAAAAATGGTTGTACGTTCCTTTTTCCAGCTCTGTTGCAACTTCGAACGGTCGCTAAGAAAATAGTTGTAAGTCGAGGACTACCTGTACACAGATTGCAACATGCGGAAGGTCATCTGGTGTTGAGCCAGATCATGTTGGGGGGAGAGAACGAGGTTACTAAATGGCCCCTGGGTTCGTTTCCCCCAATCTCTGGTCTCCCGGATTGGTTGAGACTATAACCCGCAAGACTGCAAACTGGGCACTGGGAAAAGGCTGTTCTAGAACAAGACCCATGAGTTTAGCTGTAGCTTGAACGGAAGTAGCCCTTGGAGGCATCTCCAAAGCTCGGCAACTCGCGGGTGGCAGCAACCTGGCTCAGCCAAGGAGTTGCTTGTCCAAAGCAAAAATTCTTCTAATGATATTGTTGAAACTTTCGTTTCAAGATGGGTGACTACCATTTCATACCACAATATTGTCAGGGGTGGGCTTCAAAAATTTTAGCAAGGGATTCTCTGCCCGGTTGCTGGGTGGGCATGGCCATGGTGGGCGTGGCCTAGTCGGCCTCCTGCATCACGTGCGGGGCGTTTTTACCTTCCCTGGGCTCCGGAGACTTTCTTTGAGCCTCGGGGAGGGCGAAAACGGTCTCTCTGGGTTCCAGAGGCTCTCTGGAAGCTGGAAATGGGCCCATTTCCAGCCTTCCAGAACTTATGGAGGCCCATTTTTGGCCCTCTCTTGAGTGTCCACACAGGTCCTGTACTTACCTGGCATTCAAAGTAGGTCATGTGGAGACTCTTGGGAGCGGCAGGACAGGCAGGGCCGCCTAGAGTGGGATTTGCCGGTTTGCCGAACCGGCCATAAAAATGAGCTACCGGTTTAACTACCGGTTCGCCCGAACCTGGGCGAACCGGCAGCAGTCCATTCCTGAATATATTCCAAAAGACCGCAGCGGAAGCCGTTGTGTGCTTTTCAACAATGTCCGTCCATCGCCCCCCACCGCCAGAGCCCATGGGTCAATCCAGCCTAGACCGAGGTTGGATGTGAAGGACCTCTTGAATGTTCTCAAGCCATCTTCTCTACGTAGGGAGCCAAGCAGTGAGGTGTCAGAATGCCAAGTGTCGAAGGGGAGGGCCTTTTTGAGGGTAAAAACATCCTCACAGCTGTCACCCAGCTGAGAAGGAGAGGCATCCCACCAACCTTCAAGGCTCTTGTTTGTGTTCTTCAGTTTTCCGTGGGAACTACAGTCCTGATGGCGTTGAAACCATAAGCCCTGTGAATTCCCCCTCCTCTGTCCTCCACGAGAAAGGGATGAAGCTGGCTCAAGATAAGGAGAAAGGTCAGGGTCTCCTCCATCTATAAACAGGGACTCTTCCCCGTTTGGCTGTGGTGCTTTTCATTTCCGCCCGTTCATTTTTTTTTTTCTCATGTAGGGTCCCTCAAATCGTCTGCGACAGAGTTCCCCCACATGCAACAGCTCCACCAGATCAGCGAGGGTCACCAGTCCCCCAGTCAGCCATTGCAGGGACCCCCGAATGCCAAAGGAAATCAGCGCGTCGTCACTTTGGCCCAGCACATCAACGTAAGTGGGGATGCTACGGTGGTCGCTAAATGCAAAGTGTGGTCGTCAGCCGTCTTTTTTTCAGCGTAACTTTGGTCGTGTGAAATAAATGTTTGGCAAGACAAGGACGACCGCGTGGGGTGTCAAAAGGGACAGGGAGCTTTCTTGAGAAACGACCGCAAAGAAAAACCGTGGCTAAGACGCTGAGCTTGTCAATCAGAAAAAGGTCGGCAGTTGGGCGGTTCGAATCCCTAGCGCCATGTAACGGAGTGACGTTACTTGCCGCAGCTTCTGCCAACCTAGCAGTTTGAAAGCCCGTAAAAATGCAAGTCGAAAAATAGGCACCACTCTGGTGAAAAGGGAACAGCATTCCGTGCGCCTTACCGGCGTTTAGTCCTGCCGGCCATATGACCACGGAGACGTCTTTGGACAGCGCTGGCTCTTCTTCGGCTTTGTGACGGAGAGGAGCACCACCCCCTAGAGCTGGGAATGACTAGCACATTTTATGTGCAAGGGGAACCTTGACCTTAACCTTATCCCTCTCTTACAGGAAGTCATCACTCAAGACTACACACGCTATAATCCCCAGCAACACAATCCCCACATCCAGCCTCCCGTCTACTCCTACTCGGGGGCTGCTGGCCCTGTGCTGGATCTCCGCCGAGCTCCTTCCGAATCTTACCTCCAGCACCAACCAATGGAACACGTTTCATCGTCTAGAATTTCCCCCGAAAATGAAGCAGACCAAAGGTGAGGGTCATCTTCTCTCCTTCCGGGCATGAGAGAAGTCCCCGAAGTTGGGTTTATAGAAGTGGGGGGTCAAATTGTTTAGTTCTGGTCTGCGGGGGCCGCCCTGGAAACAGCAAAGGGGCAGCCCCACGAAGCTCGGGGGGGCACGCATGTCCGTTTTCGCTGGCAGGGGGCTAGCAAAACCAGCTAAAAGCAAAACAAAAAAAGAGAAATGTTTCCCCTTTTGCATTTGAGTTTGCAGGAAGGGACGGGAAAGGAGAAAGAGGAAAGGCAAAGATAAAGAAGGGAAGATGGGAAGAGAGCAAGGAAGGAAAAAGAAGGAGGGAGGGAGGGAGGGAGGGAAGGAAGGAAGGAAGGAAGGAAGGAAGGAAGGAAGGAAGGAAGGAAGGAAGGAAGGAAGGGAGGGAGGGAGGGAGGGAGGGAGCTGGATATTCTGATCGTCATACCTACTTTTGTTCTGACCTTGCCTCTTTCTATGCAACCACTGATAGAATTTATTCCATGTTTCATAGTATTCAGATTCCCCCTTGTTTTTTAATTCTAGGGATTACCTGTCCGATTCTGCACAGGACATAATTTTCCTTATCGTCTCTGTTTCTGGCTTTCCTTCTTCCAGTATTGCACATGTATTTTTCTAGCCCCCATCAACACATGTACTATTAGCTAATAAAAGTTTTTTATTTTTTCACATTTCAAAAACATCTTTTTAGTGAACGTGGTCTTGATTGCATATTCATCTTTTACATTTAGTTTCATATCTTATCATTACTTTACATATTTTCTATTAATTTTTTCAAGTACTTTTCTCAAACTTAACTTTATATATTTTCTGTTCATTTCTAAACCTATTTCTTTTAACTTTAAATAATTCTCATATCTTCATATTCATTGTGCTTTATACTTTTACCTGTCAGGTTTGCAACTTCATCACATATTCTTATTTCGACGTTTCAAAAACTCCATCTCAATTCAAACATTTCAAAAAAATTTCTCCTATAATTACCAATTAGAGTGTCCCACTCCTGTACCCTATATATCATTTGGTTAACTCTTTAATTCCCAAATTTAGCTTTTTAATTATCACCTAAAGATTAACAACAATAATCTCCTAGCAACTACACAACACCTATGCCTTTTAAGTCAGATTCCGCATGGCACTTTCCCCTTCAATTACGTTAAATCATTTATAATTTCAAAAAGAAAAATTAGTCTATTCAGTTGATCATAAAAACTGATATTAATCTCATTACAGCAATCCTCACAATTCATTTCAACTATATTCTTGAATTCATTAAACATAGTTAATAAACTTACCATAGTTTCTCTTTTTCACATTTATTCCATTTATCTCTATATATAGTTTTAACAGAGAACAAGTATTCTAATAACAAGTATTTTCCTACTTTCTAAGTAATTTATTGTACTATTAGATAAATTAAATATCTTTCTGGTATTATTCCTAGGAGAAAAAATTCCGGCTCAAATGGAATACACTCCCCCACCATTTGTTCTTGTATCAATCTCCAATACTTTTTTGCAGCATTGCAGGTCCACCACATGTGGAAGAATGTGCCTTTGCACTTCCAACAATTTGGAGATAATGTGCTCCTGGTTGCCCAAGTCTCACCTTCTCGCTCTTAATCTCTGCAGGTCCCCCGAGCAAATCAAAATTCCATCTTCGGACAACTGCATCGAGCCGATTTCTCCTCCCGAGGGCAACGGAGAAGCCGAGCGTGTCCGAAACAGCACCTACCCCATCCTGTACCGTGAGGGCGAGCAGCTGGAGCTGAGGTAAGGAGCCCGAGTGGTCAGCGTAGCCAGGCAATGGCGTGGCTCCAGAGGGTCAGCTGCAAAAAGACTCCTCGGGTGTTCTCTTCCACCCTGCAGAGGCTGCACCCGATCCCCGGGAAACAGCGTCCAGCCGCCGGCGTTCTTCAGCAAACTGACAGAGAGCAATTCCGCCATGGTGAAATCCAAGAAGCAGGAAATCATCAAAAAACTCAGCACGAGCAACCGGAATGAGGCGGAATACAGTGAGAATTTCACTTGACTCTTTTTGTCTGTCTTTCTGTCTCTGTCATCTATCTATCTAATCTATTATCTATCATCTATACCATCATCTTTCTCAGTCCATCATCTATCATCTGTCTATATTTATCTGTCGACCTATATCTATCTATCTATCTATCTATCTATCTATCTATCCAGCATCCATCCATCTATCCACCCACCCATCTATAGCTATC